AGCCCGACATCTTGAGTTTCTGTCCTTAAGACCCACATGCTGGAAGGAGAGACCTGACTCCCAAAAGTTGTCCTGTGACCTCCACACCTATGTGCTGCCAGGACTCACTTTGTGTGTGCATGCACAAATAAACAATGGGATTTAAAATCTTAATGTAAAATTCATAGCAGTATATTGAGATGCTTGAGGTTTTTTATTTTTTATAGGAAGCATCCAATAAAATGGGATATGTACTCACCCACGAGGTTGAGCAGCTGTTAGAATTTTGCCATATTGGTTTCATCTCTCTTGAAAGGAAAGTCCAACAGCTGTGGCTGGAAAGCCACCCTTGTCCTTTCCTTCACCGGGGAGGATCTTCTCAAATCTGCTCACTCGTCTCTATTCTAAGTTGATTTCTTTTTAGTCCACGAGCAACCTCAGCAGTGTTAACATCACAGATCGACTGGACGTGAGCACACATGCTTCTGGTTTTTTTTTTTTTTTTTTTTTTTTTTTTTTTTTTTTGGTTTTTTCGAGATAGGGTTTCTCTGTGTAGCTTTGCACCTTTCCTGGGACTCACTTGGTAGCCCAGGCTGGCCTCGAACTCGCAGAGATCCTCCTGGCTCTGCCTCCCGAGTGCTGGGATTAAAGGCGTGTGCCACCACCGCCCGGCTATCTGTTTTTATATGTATGTTTGTGGGCATGAAACGTTCACGCAAGTGTTGGTTCCCATGGTTGAGGACAGTGAGATGGTCTTACCTCTGCCGCTGTTGGCAACGCTGTCGCAGGGAATCTTCCTCATATAAAAACATAGGAACGTTTCCCTCACCAAGACCGTTTAGAAAGTGACACTTCTGGGGAGTGGCATCACTGTGGCTGTCCTTCCTTAAAATGTTATGTATTTATTTTTATGTGTATGAGGATTTTGCCTGCATACATGCCTGCCTGGTGCCCTTAGAGGCCAGAAGACGGTACTAGATCCTCCGGATCTGGAGTCACAGATGGTTGTGGGCTGCCATGTCAGTGGTGGGAACCAGACCCAGGTCCTCTGGAGGAGCCAGCTGGTGTGAGTGGGGGTTTGAACCTCATGTTTCCTGCTGCCCTTTGTCTGTACTGCCCTCTCCTCATGTCCTGAGGCCATCTCAGTGGCGTTCCCCGCTCTGTTCTTTGGAAAGCTGTTTCAGGCAATCTTTTGACGGGATCTTACTGTGTAGTCCCTGCTGGCCTGGAACTCCCTTTCCAGTGGTATTTCAAGTTGTCTTGTTTTGTTTTCATCGAGTAAGTTTTGACCAGTTACATCCTTTGTGTGTAAGCTTGTTTCACGTGGAGATGTCAGATGGTTGGTTTCTCTGCTGTGGCTCCTGGGTTCCCACCCTGTGCACGGCCAGCTTGTTGTCAGCCCTCTTCCTCCTGACGGTCTGGTGTTTGCTGTGCCTTCTTTGATTTCCTGACCCGTCTGACTTTGCTTTCTTGTTTCTGTTGTTATTGTTGCGTACTGTTTCATCTCTGCCCTGTTTTGGTCTGTACTCTGCTAGCCGTCCTCACTGCCTTTTTGCACAGTTAATTCATACCAAATTTACCATATTGACCACTTTTTTTGGTCTTTTTTTAAAAAACTCTTCTGAACAAAGATCCATTTGTGGTATTATTTTTGTTGAATGTCTTTTTTTGTTGTTGTTTGTTTTTTAAAAAGGATCACTCTTGAATGATGGTTTATTTGGACATAGGATACAAGGGTGACCTTTTCCAAAGCCCGGGTTTAATACAGCCCATCTCACTACTCTGTCCATGGATAAATATGCTCTTCTCTCTCAGGGGCGGCTTCTGAGGTGTGTGTGTGTGTGTGTGTGTGTGTGTGTGTGTGTGTGTGTGTGTGTGTGTGTGTGTCAGAGACAGAGAGACAGAGAGAGAAGCCCATGCACATACTATATTACATGAGACTTGTGCCTGTTGAGTCTAAAGACTCTTAGGCCTGTGCTGAAACCTGGAAAGTTTGTTTTTTGTTTGTTTTGGTTTTTGGTTTTGTTTAGACAGGGTTTCTTTGTGTAGCCCTGGCTGTCCTGGAGCTCACTTTGTAGACCAGGCCAGGCTCGAACCCACAGAGATCCGCCTGCCTCTGCCTCCCAAGTGCTGGGATTAAAGGCGTGTGCCGCCGCCGCCGCCGCCTCCACCACCACCACCACCACCACCTGGCTGAAACCTGAAAAATTCTTAGCCATTATCTACATATCTGTTTAGTTTTTGTCTGTCTTCTGTTCTGCAGGATTGTCTATTGACATGGGAACCAGACGCCATTCTGGTCTTCCTGTCTTAGGAGGTTTTAGGCGATGAACTATCACACATTCAAAAGGACAACTTTAAAACCACGGTGAGATGGAAGTTAGAAATGTTTATAGTGTCACACAGAGCAACACCGTGGAGCCCACCTGCACTAAACAATAGCACTTACCCAGGGGACAAGTCAGCTAGGTGTCCATCTCCTGTGGCTTTTGTAGGACTACAGTGAGAACTGGTGAACCCATCTCCTCCTCCTTTAGGGAGGAGAGACGTTCTGGAGATGTGCTGCGGGTCTCTGACACAAGAGGCAGGAAGGCGGTTCCGTTCAGCATGATGAATGGCTGGTGTTGGCTCAGACTTTGGGAGTCTGACCCCAAACAGTTTATTATAGCCATATTAGGCACAGCGCAATTTGGTGAAAACTTTGCTGGTGATAATTAACTCAGTCCCGTGCGCACAATAAAGCTAAGACACGACTGTATCGAAACTCTCTGTAAAGGACCCGTGACCTCTTCCATAAAGATGGGTTGGTAGATTGAGTACATGTGACACCCTCCGTGAAGATAGATTTTATAGATTGGCAAGCTCATGATAAGGGTATAGTGGAGGGTAGTGCAAAGGTCACCAGGCTATTAACCGTGTCTGTTCCCAGCCTTCTGGGTGGATAACAGGTTGTGCATCCCTTCCTTTGAAGGAACAACCCTGTGTGTTTAACATTCCTGGTTCCCCTTGTGCTTGTCCATGAGCACAAGAGCCTCCGGGCCTCCCACATTATGATAGGGTGGATCCCAGTGTTTGCTGAATTCTGCAGTGTGTCACGTCCTAGGACACTAACAAACGTCCAGGGACCTTGTTTGGCTTGCTTAATGTCACATCTGCTGGTAAAGACTAAACTGTCAGCACTCCGTTACAGGTGAAGAACTGGGAAGGGTTCCACAGCTAAGCCCGTACTTGGGAAATGGATGTCACTCTGGCCTGGCCGTCTTGGTTCTGAATGCTGTGCTTTGCCAGATTCTTTAATGATGTGGTGTCCACTGGCATTTCCTGTTTTTCCTTTTCTTTTTGTTGCAATGCTGGGGACTGAACCCCAGGTCTTGTGTATGCTAGGTGAGCATTCTGCCACTGAGCCAGATCCCCAGCCCGTGTTTAGTGACTTCTGCAGGGAAAGGGGAATCTCTGAAGGAACTGCAGGTCTGGGCATCTTTAAGCCTCATCATAGATCACGTCTTCTTAGCAACCCTTGGCCATGCTGTGACAATGCACACTGTCGCTGGAGCCTTCGTGGATGCCCTCTTGACCTCCACTCCTTGGTGAGCACAGGGCTGCCCCTTCCACATCGAGGCTCCAGCACTCAGTGTCGTGTCTGTCAGTAAAAATGTACAGGTAATTAAAGAATGTATTGGTTAATTCTTAGTGGTGGGGTAATGTAAATAAACTACCGACAGTAGCCGTTTTATGACGTGCCTGTTACGTCCCAGGTATTGTAAGTCATCTTGACATATTTTACCCAGACCACCATTAACACAGTTGTCTTGATTGGCCCCAATTGTTAGATTGGCTTGTTAGATTCTAACACATAACACAGGCACTTTGTGGTAACTTCGAACAACATCTTCTTAGTGGAATATGGAACTGGGTGAGAAAGTCCAGCCCAGTGTGGAACCAACTGGAAAGGTCCAGCATGGTGTGAACTGGACCGTGAAACCAGATGGAAAGGTCCATCGTGGTGTGAACTACTGGACTGTGGAACCAGGTGGGAAGGTCCAGCCCGGTATGAGCTGGATTGTGGAACTCTCTGGAAAGGTCCAGCATGCTGTGAGCTGGACTGTGGAACTGGGTGGGAAGGTTCTGCCTGGTGTGAACTGGACTTTGTAACCAGGTGGAAAGGTCCAGCATGCTGTGAGCTGGACTGACTGGCGTCTCTGTTGATGGAGGTGTCACAGCCCCACCCCTTAGCGCTGTGCAGTAGCTCCAGCTTTCCTTTAGACTGAACAGTCAGTCATTTCTGAAGCAGTCACCACATCTACCGCCAGCTTGTTCTCTTAAGCTCAGGTGGGCTGGAGAAGTGGATCAGCAGTTGAAAGTTGATACTGCTCTCACAGAGGACCCAAGTTCACTTTCCAGCTCAGAGCTGCCTATAACTCCAGCTCCAAGTGGATCAGCACCCCTGGTCTCCACAGGCACGGCACTCCTGTACACACAGATCACATAATTTAGAATAAAGTCAACTTTTAAAAAGGGAATTATATTTTACATTTTAAGTAATACCAAAGCCCCCCTTAACCCAGCAAAACCTGTCTACAACAATATGACTGCTATAGAACTGTATATTAGGGAAGACATGCATTCTCTTTGCTATTTTGTCTTTGTTTGTTTGTTGTTTTTCAAGACAGGGTCTTCTCTGTGTGGCCCTGCCTGTCTTGGAACTCACTTTGTAGACCAGGCTGGTCTCAAATTCAGAAATCCACCTGCCTCTGCCTCCCAAGTGCTGAGATTAAATGTGTGCACCACTACTGCCTGGCTGTCTTTGCTGTTTTTAATGCAGACAAAATATTTTGGTTCTAGAACTTTGGGTCCTTGTAATGTGGTGGAGTGCCATTAGTAACTGTTCTAGAGTGAAAATGGACGGTTCCTCCTGTTGGCCCCGAGGAAGAGGAACATGATCAAACAGACTGCGGCACCTGGGGTGGGGATGAGGAGGAAGTGCTGGTGGTGTTACATGATTGGTTTGTCTCTTCTTTCAGACGGGGCGAATTGACAAATCCTACCCCACAGTATGTGGCCACACAGGACCAGTGCTGGACATAGACTGGTGTCCACACAACGATCAGGTTATTGCCAGCGGCTCAGAGGACTGCACCGTTATGGTAAGTGCCTAGGGTGTGGCATGATGACGCATCCTAGCCTTGTGGAGCCCATTGGCTTATACATTACGGCTGAACGACAAGCCTTGTGTCAATGAGTTGTATGTTCTCCGTTCTGTTCTGTTCTGTCTGGGGGTGACGACCTGCCCATTGATAGTTGATATCTGTAGGGAAGATCTGAGTGCAAGTAAGACAAGCACCCTACCAAAAAATAAATAGAGCGAAGAAGACTGTTGTCCTAAACTGTGTGCTCCATGGCAGCAGATAAAGTCGACTAACAGCAAGTGTTGGGGTCAATGGGAGCATGGCAAGGGCTGCTTTCCACGCTGATGGTGGAAAGTATTTCCACCTGCTGCTGAAGAGGTGTGTTAGGTTTTGTTTTAACTTTTATTTGTGTTGTGTGTGTATGGGTGTTTGGCCTATGTGCATCCCTATCTGTGCACCCTGTAAATGTAGCACCCACATTGGCCAGAAGCGGGCATTGGAACTGGAGTTAACAAATCATGAGCTGCCACGTGGGAGCTTGAACCCAGGTCCTTTGTAAGAGCAGTGAGTGTTCTTAACCACTGAGCCATCTCTCTGGCCTCAAAAAGTTTGTTTTGAAAAGATCTTTCTTGCTAGGTGGCCCATGCTGCTGTTGAAACTCCTCTGATGATCTTCCTACTTCAGTTTCCCAGTTATTTCCTCAAGGCACCTTTCAGGAGACAGCATCCTGCTCCTGAGTGTACACTTTGAACAGGACTACTGACTTGGATCAATTTTCAGTGTGCGCTGGTAGTTTACATCAGCTAAACACCAGCTAGAATCATTTAGGAAGAGAGGATATCTATCAGTTGAGAAAATGCTCCCACTAGATTGGCTTCTGGGCAAGCCTTTGGGGCGTTTTCTTAACTAATGATAGATGGGAGAGGGCCCAGCTCACTGCGGGCAGTGACCACCCTGGACTGGTGGCCCTGGGTTCTATAAGAACACAGGCTGAGCAGGCCAGTAAGCAGCACCCTCCATGGCCTCTGCATCAGCTCCCGCCTCCAGGACTGTGCCCTGTTGGAGTTCCTGCCCTCCCTCCCTCAGTGATGGACAGTGATGTGGAAGTATGAGGCTGAGGTAAGCTCTGTCCTCCCCAGCTTGCTTTTTGTCATGGTGTTTATCACAGCATTAGGAACCCTGGCTCAGACACAACACTTTCCCAAAATATGTCAACAAGGTCAGGTGGGAGCAGGGCGGGCAGGGCTGCTGTTGATTACCTCAGAATGGGCTGTCTGTCGTCTACCTTAGGCAGAGCTCAGAGAACCACAGTCCTTCCATTTTCTTTCTGTTGTCTATGGACCAAAACATTGTTTAAGGTGCTTTGTTACTAAAATGTGCATCGACGAATTAGTTCCTGAACTGCATTATTTAAACATTTCCCCACCTTCCTCCCTCGTGGGCTTTTGGCAGCTGAAAGCAAAGCGTATTGAATGTGCTGCCAGTAAAGGAGTCCTTCTGTGTGTGTGCTGGCTGGACTGACGGCCAGTGACCGTGGATGTGTTTGCTGTGGAAGGGAACACAGGTTAGACCTGATGCCAGAACCTACAGCTGAGAGTCCTGACTGCTGTGAGAAGCCGGTCGGATCTGTTTCCTCATTGCCAGCCTTACTGATCACAGTACCCCTTAAAACAACGTCCATAAAACACCAGTATTTAAAGAATGTCGAGGTGAAGTGAATGGAGTGGGCGGGTGATTTCTTACTCTGCCGCCCTCCATGCCCTCCCCACACCCTCTACTCTGTGAGTGTCTCTTTCTCTAGGATGCTGCTCGCTCACCTGTGCCTCTCTAAATGCCAACTGTGCACAGCAGCGGATGTGTCTTCCCCGTCTGTCAGTTTCTTACAGGACGCCTGTTGTAGAATGCCGATGTTTTGATCTGTACTTTGCAACTGTCTGGATTTTGCTGGCTGTCCTTCTGGAGCAGGTCAGGGGCTCCGGCCTGAATTTCCTGCAGATGTGAAGCTAGATCCCAGAGTTGATGTAGGTCCAGCCCCTGAGGCCAGGCTCCTGAGGTTCTCTCCTGTTGGGTTTGCACAGCTATCAGAGCTTCATTCGTCCCTACAGCTCGTGACTCTTTGAGGAGCCCAGACTGGCTCCATAGCTGCTGCTGCTCTCTCGCTTTCTCCTCAGTTGCCTGGTGTTCGGATTGCATAGGAAGGGGACAGGGTGAGCACCTGATTCTCAGCTTACCCTGTTTCCACGGTGACACGTTAGCACACCATCATCCTCAGAAAAGGAAGTTTTCCCTTCACTTTATCTGAACATATTTGATCAGTTTCAAAAATATCGTGTCTCCAAGCTCAGCCTGCCCTGTCTTCCCCCCTGAGACCCAAAGTGGCTGTGTAATCTTTGATCACTTTCCTGGCTGTGATTCATTCAAGGGTCTCAGGCTCACCTTGGGCATCTCTGGCAGACTGTGATTGGCCATTTCTGTTACACCCTGATTTCTCTGAGTGGAAAGTGATGTTTCTGTATCATGGTCTGGGTGTGAGGGTAATTGTGATCACTGTGTCGTTGTTGCCCATTCTTAGTCATCTGAGAGCAGCGGTTCTCAGCCTTCCTAACACTGTGACCCTTGGACACAGTTCCTCCTCAGGGTGTGGTGACCCCAACCACAAAATCATCTTCGTTGCTACTTCATTACTGTAATTCTGCTATTGTTATGATTGTAATGTAAATAGTGTAGTTTTTAAAATAAAAATTTTATGTGTATGAGTGTTTTACCTACATGTATGTATGTGTACCATGTGTATGAATGGAGCCTATAGAGCCCAGAAGTGGGTGTTGGATCTTTTGGAACTGGATTTATATAGATAGTTGTGGGCTGCCTTGTGAATGCAGGGAATTGAACCCTGCTCCTCTGGAAAAGGAGCCAGTGCTCTAACTGAGGAGCCACCTCTCCAGCCCTGACCATAGTTTATAAGGAGGACAATAGCTTTTACACCCATGCTGTTGCTTTTCTCCATCCACTACTGAAGTTGTTCAAGCTTGGTATGGATCTAGCTTGACACCTGTTACCACAGCACTCTGGAGACTGAGACAGGAAGAGCACAAGTTTGAGAACATCCTGGGTAGCCCTGTCAATAAAAAGTAGTCATCCCTCAGGACCACTGACCCAGAATCTAGAACGCACGCACGCATGTTCCAATGTTCCAGTCATGTGTATTGAATGTCTGGTGTTGTGTATAACCTATGTGTCCATTATACACAGATCATCTGTACAGATATGTGTTACAGAGATCTGTAGATTACTTACAATCCCCAGTACAATGTAAGTGCCCTATAACTGGTTCTTAAGTTGTATTGGTTAGGAAATAACAAGTCTATACAAGTTCAGTACATCTTTATCTCCCCCAGCCACAAACACACACCAATCTGCCGTTGACAAAGTCATGACCCACAGATGAAGATCTGACTGGCTATTGTTTGATTTTCTTTTGGCAAATGGCATTGCTGTGAAAGTCAGAAAATTAGCTTTCTTTTACTTATCAGGCATTCCTTTTGCTTAGTTACAGGTTTTTTTTTTCAAACTGTTACATTGTTGGTAATTCAGAAATCAGTGCTCTACCAGGTGGTAGTGGTACATGCCTTTAATCCCAGCATTTGGGAAGAAGAGCCAGGCAGATCTCTGTGAGTTCGAGGACAGGCAGGGCTACACAGAGAAACCCTGTCTCAAAAAATAAACCAAAACAAAACAAAAACAAACAAACAAACAAAAAAAGAATCAGTGTTCCTAAATACATGGTGTGGTATATTAATATAGTCTTTAAAAAATTTTTAGATTTGTGTGTTTTATGTGTATGCATGTTTGGTCTGCATGCATATATGTTCACTACATGTATGCCTGGTGCCCAAAGAGGCCAGAAGAGGACATAGGATCCCTTGGAACTAGAGCTACAGATGTTTATGTTATGAGCTGCCACATGGGTGCTGGGAGCCGAACCCAGGTCCTCTATAAGAGCAGCCAGTGGTCTTAACCGCTAAGCCATCTCTCCGGCCCCCTAGTTTCAAGTCATTCCCCCACCCCGGAAAATTATCCCAAATCATCAGGGGATTTTTTTGTTGTTGTTCTCTTGTGAAATAGGGTCTTGTATTATAACCCAGAATGACCTCAAGCACACAGTGTCCTTGCCTTGGCTGAGACTGTAGGTGTGCCCTACCATGCACAGTTTGGGGGCTCCTGTGACCTTTCCTGTCTTCAGTATTTGTCAGTTTGTTCCAGACCTTGTTGTATTCTGAGACACTCGCCACGTAGCCCTGTGGCCCGGAACTTCTGTGTAGGCCAGGCTGGCCTGGAGTTCCCAGCTCCACTTGCTCTGTCTCCTGGGTGAGATTTGCATACATGGGTTTGCTCCAGGCCTGTCTTCTTTCTGTAGACTGTAGGTCTTGTTGATGCGTCTTCCGTTTCTTTACCTTGGAGAACTTCTCCGTTCGTGTACAGTGCCCATTTGACTTGGTTCAGTGCCAAGTCCTACAGCCTTTGCCTTTTTCGGCCTGGCAGTCGAGCTGTAGACTTTGGACGAGGAGCGTGGCCCTCCAGTGCCAGTGACCTCCTCGAGGCTTGTCTGCCCGGTGGCCCGAGTGAAGGCAGTGGTGGTACAAGGCTCCTGGTGGACCAGAGTCCGACAGCTCTTCCCCTTGACACTGCACTTAGAAGGCCGCGCCCATCTGTGGCGGTCAGCAGGAAGACAGCACAGGTGCTGTGCAGGTAGCCGGGTGGTCTCCTGTGGAGACATCCACTTTACAAGCAGCTCTCTCTTCATCCGGGACCAGCTTAAGCACTTGGGTGGACTGATGACCACGGCAGGAGGTGTTTCCAGTGATTATAGAGATCAGCTCTCTAGATGCTGCAGCCCACACAGCGGGAGGTGGGGGAGGTGCCTTGGGCTGACGAGCTCTCCAGTGCCAGTGCTCCCCAGTGCCAGTGCTCCCCAGTGCCAGTGCTCCCCAGTGCCAGCGCTCCCCAGTGCCAGCGCT